TTTTAAAAAAAACTCCTTGGGGGGGAGGGTCCGAAGTCCCTGGGGGTGTCGTGGGTGACCTACGTGGGTGGCCCCCCATCTGCTCCAGAGGAACCCCCTCCTCTCCTTTGGGCTACAGTCCTGCTCCTGACCCCTGCCTTCTCTTTCTCCCCCTGCAGAAGCCCAAATCTTGTAGCAAGCAGGGGTGGTTCGCTCCCCCAGCAGGGCAGCCCCCACCTCCAAGAGGGGCCCCCCACCACCACTGACCTCACCAACTGCCGCTGCCGTCGACTCTGGAGGGGTGCAACCTGGGGCCCCCTTGCTCTGCCCCCATCATCATCACCACCACCACCACTACCACCCCGACAGGAAACTTTTGGGAAGGCAGCTTGGCATCGGGGGCCACCCCCTCCCCTGCGCCAGGAGCGGCTGACTGCATGCTGGAGGCTGCTATTTCCGGACCTGCACCAACGCAAGAGGGGCGAGGAGAGAGCAGCAGGACGCAAACGGGACTTCGATGCCCACTGAGCCTGGTGGACGGACACCCTCCCTGTCAGCAGCTGCTGGGGGGGGGCAAAGGGACCGGAGCCTACCTACCAGGGACTGCGTAGGGCGTGGCATGCTCCCTCCACACCACACCACAGCATGGAGCTCATGCGGGACCCTTGGGAGAGCGAGACCTCCTGCCCACAAGATGCCCACCCAGTGGGTCGAGCGCCACCTGCTGCCATGAGCCATGTTTGCCAGAAGGCCTGGTGGTGTGGGAAACGCACCGGACTTAAAGCCTGGTAGGGAATCGTGTGCCCTCCTTGAGAGCAGGAGCATGAGCCAGGGGGAGCCAAGGTGATGGCAAAGGTCGCCATCATCCCAGGGCACAGAGCCCGAGAGTCGAGCCGCTGCCCCCCCCCCCCCCCCACGGTGGCCTGTGTGTCTGTGTGTGTGCCTCTTTGGCTTGTATGGGACCCCTTTCAGCTCGTGAATTATATTTCAGTTTAAATTTCTTTGAATGAGCCTTCAGCAATGCTCCTGGCCTCCGTCTTGAGCCTGCCACCACCACCCCTCGCTTGTGGAGGAGAATTCTGGTCAGAGCTGTGTCGACCCGAGCCTGTGAGTCCAACCCTGAGGGGCCCCAGCAGGGCCACATCCACAGGAGTCGGGGGGGGCATGCGGTTGGCCTTCTGAGCCTTTCGGAGACGCCACCCACAGACCCCGGCCACTTGGTTCTCCGTGTAGTGCAAGCATGGGAGGCCTCTTCCATGGGCTCAGGAGTCAAGGTCCTGCCCATGGGCCTCGGAGGAGAAATCCTGGGCTTCAAGACCTCAGCGCCCGACTGGCAAGCAGGGCCCAATGTCTGCCCTCTGGCCGTTCTGTGATGGTTCCAGAACAGATCTGGTGCTGCCACTTTTCCCCCCGAAAGGGGAGCTTGCAAGTGCCTGGGCATTCCCCGGTGAAGCTTCAGAAAGTGGGGCTGCTACGGAGGTGGAGCAGGGACGGGGTACACCCCAGGATTCATTTGGGGGGGGGAGAAGGGGCCATAATGTCCCCGCTTCCCTTTGCCCCTTCCCACAATCCATCCCACAGCATGGAGACGTTGGCTTTTGCCGTGTGGAGTTTAAATCGTAATTATTTTACAGGGCAGAATATATACGTGTGCCGGTCTGTCCCTTCCTTCCTCAGCTGCCAAAGGGATCCGCTTCCAGTTCCCAGGCTCACGAGGCCCTCTTGGGCTCCAGGTTTTGAGAGCAAGGGGTTCACATGGGAGCCCCCACACACACAACCTGTAGGCATGCATGCGGTTTCCCAACACCCCACCCCACCTGTGTTTCTGTCTTGCCAGCCTCATACATAGACAATCTACATGCACGCGCGCACCCCTTACAAACATGCCCATAGTGAAGGGAACTGTTCAAGAGGCAGAGACGGCTCAGGGCAGGACGGGCCCCTCCAGTCTCCATGCGCAGCGAGGCCAGGGTGGAAGGGGTGGCTCCGGAGGGCCCCGGAAGAAGAACCTGCTCCGAATTCCAGGGTTTCTCTGGACTTTCCTTCTGCCCTTCTGTCTGTCTGGGGCTACCTCCGTATGCCCACCTTCCTCTGCCTTTCCTCCTTGTGGCTCATCTGGGCACCCAGACGAACAAGGGTGGCTGCCTCCTCACACGGGCATCCTGGCTTCTGTCCCATTCCTACACACCAGCTAGAACCCTGTTGCTCGCCTGTCTGTTGCGGCCTGAAGTGGAAAGGCAGCCGTGATCGCAGTGGTACGTAAACGGCCACTAGGCAACGGGTGGCTGCTTGCATTTCTTGTGGCCCAACAAGCCACACAACTGATATGCAGTGAGGAATGCAAGCAGCAACCCACCAGCAGCCCTTTGTTGCAGTGGCTTGATCCCGCTGCATCGAAGCCGGCATGACGAACGAATGGTACCCAGTGTGGTGGAGTGGATACAGTGATGCACTAGGGCTCAGCTATGGAACCTCATTGGGTGAGTGGGACTGGCAAAATCTCCCCTTAAACACCTCAGTGAGCTCAAAAAGCCCTCCTAGGGACCCTGTCAGTCGGTTCTGAGTTGATGGCACGTAAACAAAGAACAGCAAATGAGATTCTGGCTACTGATTGCGTGGCTGAAGCCACTCATCCACTCCTGTGCCCATCCTGGTCCGTCACGACGTTTGCTCTTGTGGGGACTCCGATTTAAGCCTGTGTGAGCGGCTCGTTTCAGGACAGGCATCCACAGAGTGGATCGCGAGGGAACAGATTAGCAGCCACAAGCTGAGAGGCGTTAAAAGTGCACCAAACTAATTCATGAAGGAGGACAGCCGTAGCGGGCGTTCTAATGGGACCTCCAGGTTCAGAGGCAGTCTACCTACAAATACAGCTGCTGGGAAACTTGCAACAGAGGAGCACTGTGGTCCTCTCGCTCCTACCGGCGAGCTTTCCTGTGGTGGCAACTCAGCCCCAGAGGGAAAGCAGAGCCCGGCCTGGAGGGATTCTGGCCGCAACGTGGCAGGACCCTGCCCTCCTCCTCCTCCTCCTCAGGCATCATGCACATCTCCCCCCCACACACACACACAAATGCAGAAAGAGGCAAGCCAGTCACCCTGACCAGGAAGCACAACAACCCTGTGACCCAGGGCAGGAGTGCCTGTCCATGGCTGGTGTTCTCTCCCACTAATCCAGAGTTTATGGCCCTGAGGTTTGGAGCAAAGGCCGGGCTGCCACCGGCCTCTGGGCCCCTCCAAGTCATTGCTCACACCAGCCAGCGGTGCCAAAGCCCCCACCACCATCACCAGCCAGCGGCCAGCCAGGCCTGGTCGGCAAGGCCAGGCCAGGCCAGGCAAGGGAGCGAGCGAGTGAGCGAGCGCATGGGGTGGGGCCCGGCTGTGCGGTGAGCAGGGCTCTGCCAGCCCTCGGAGGGAGGCAGCCAACAGGACGGAAACGTCCTGAGATGAAGGCGGTGGGCACAGCAGGCGCCAGATGGCAGGAGGGCAGAAAGGGGGAGCTAAAAATAACCAGGAACACTTTCTCCTGCCAGGGCGGAACCAGGCTCCGGGGGTCAAAGCCGTCCTTCCTGCCAGCTGGCAGCGGCCAGGATCGGAGGGGAGGGCAGGGCAGGGCAGGGGAGAGAGAGGGCTTCACAAACAGGAGGCCAGCTACCTGGATGGTGCCAGGCAGGAGCAATTTCCACCCATGTCCTTCTGGAGAGGAGGGGGTGCCAGGCCTAGGGCCAGGGGCGGCTTGGCAGGAGCAATTTCCATCCAAGTCCATCTGGAGAGGAGGGGGTGCCAGGCCTAGGGCTCTCGCTGGGCCCTCCCACGGCACAGCCGCCCTTCCTGGGGCTGTTGCACACCTGGGGCCGCCTTGGTGGGAAGCCCACATCCACGTGGATCTTTTCCCCACGCAGAACCAATCCGCAGGCAAGGGAGAGGTGGTGCCGCAGGTCAGAGCCCCACCAGGGCAGTGTTGAACTCAGAGCCCCACATCACCCACAAGTGGGGAGACTGCCCCGTCAGGCTTGGGACATCCACCGGTGTGGCTGCAGCCACGTGGACGGTGGCTGCCTGGGGGATATTTGGAGTGGCAGTCCTGAAGGCAAAGCCGCCTGAGCGCCAGTGCGAACTGGTCAGAGCGTGTCAAAAGGAAAGAGGCAATGCAGCTCCTTTGAGCCCTTCTGGTCGACCTTCCCAGCCCCTGCCTGGCCTTGTCGCTTGTTGGCGACAAGGAAATAATTGGCACCACGAAGGCTGGGCCCCAAGGGGTCCTCCGAAGCCAAGCACGGCTGAGCAAGACCCGGTGGGCAGGGGTGCCCATGATCTGGCCCCCTCCCCTCCCTGATGCCCCCCCCCCATTAATGTATAAACAGTCAACTGGACCAGACAAAATGTGAACTGAATCAGGCAGAGGAGCAAGACCTGCAAGAGAGACCAAATGCATGCACTCCATATCCACACAAAAGCATGGAGGGTCCGCTATCTCTCCATCTCCTAAAAGCCCTGGTGGAAGCTGGAGGGGGGGGAGGAATTTGTTGCTTGGTTTTATTTTTCCTTGGCCAAACTTTTCTCGTGCTTCAATTTCGAATCAGGATACCCCCCCCCCAGGTGGCAGAAAGGCGGGGGGGGGTTGCTGCTTGAGTAAATGGGACGCCCCTGCCTGAGCCAGCAGGGAGCACGGTGTGCCTGCGTCTGCCGTGCTTGTGTGTGTTGTGTGTGTGTGATCCCTCCCGGCTGTTCCAGAGACGACCTTGCCTGCCTTCACCCCGGGCGGTGCCCTCCGCTCTGCTTTCCCAAAGGACGGGGCGCCGGCTGGGCAGGAGCGCTCCTCCCCGGCCCTTGGCGACCCAGCTCGGCCCTGCGCCCTCTTTGGGGTGGCCTTTGCCCCCCACCCCGCCCACCGACCCCAATTCCGTGAACCTGGTGACAATAAGCTAATGCCAGACTGTGTATAACTGCTGCGGGTTTGTTCCGCTCGCGTATGAATAAACCATGAAGGAAGGCGAGTCCTTGGCCGGGATCAAGCAAGAGCGGGATCTGGAGAGAATTCGGGGGAAGGGGGGGACCGTTGTTCCCTGAAAGCAGTGGCCCTGTGACGCTCCCCCCCCCCGCCCG